CATGGAATATTTGGTAAAAATGGAGGCTTTGGACCTTATTGTAGATGAGTTCATTCGAACATAAATAGAAATCTTAAGAGTTAATATTTCTACTTTAAAGTTAACTCCTTTTCAGCAAAGCGAGTGCAACTAATGATGGTTTTTTCAAAAGTTATATATGTCCAACTTTCTTTTCCTTAGTTAATAAATCATATTTAAAACTTCCCATTAGGTCTATGACTAAAATCGTTAATTGACGATTTGAACTCACTAATGAAGAATTTACAAATGTTTAGAGATCATTTTTAAAAGGTCATATACCAACCTTTTAAAACTGTTCCAGGAAATAAAAATTTTAAAGGTATTTATTTAATTCAGTTGTATACACAAAAAGAGCTACTATCTATGGAGAAAGAGAAAAATTGTATAAAGTAGTCAAGATGCTTGAGGTGCGGCCTAAAAAGCTAGTTCAAGCTAAATGGGATTTTGAAGAAATGGTGCGTTTGATGCTTAATCTCTAAGCATAAAGGAAAATTTAATGTATTTCAAGCTACTGCCAATGATTTTAGCTACAACTATTTTTTTTTGCCGATCCAATATCAGTTTAAAAGCTGCTGGCAAGAGATAGAAGCTACTAGTTGTCGAAAAAATAAATTATTGAATCGCATTAAAGTTTTTGACCCTAATGGATCCTTATTGATGCCAGAAAAACGTATATAAATAAATTTTGTTTGGCTCTTGATGGTAATGCCATCACGCATACCTTGAGCTTGTAAAGATTGATTTACAGCTCCAGCAGAGGTAACGAACAGAAGTTTGCCGAAACATTTCACTCAAATAAATATGCGTAATGGATTTACCTCAATCTAGCAGCAGCTGGAAAGGAATGAATTTACCCCATGATGCCTTGAGGAAACATGCCAATGAGGTGAGCCAACCCTATGTCCTATGTGGCGCGACTGGACCAAGACCAAAGGTCTGCAAGATTGCGTCAGATGAGGAACCTTTATATATTTGAGAATTATTAATGTGCTGATAAACCTGTTGATGTTAAAAGTCCGATACCTGAGGCTTAAGGTATCCCCAATGTAGCAGTGCCGCTTGTAGGAAGTGGACGACCCCCCTTTAGATTTTGTTATCTCATTGGTAAGGATTGATAACATTGCCGTGGATAAACAAAATGAAACGGTTTAACACGGCACAGAAGGTTATGAGGACATATAAAGTAGATTAGTGTAAGTTTTTGGGAATAAATTTTGATATGGGTCCTATTGGCAATCTATTTAGGCTACGTAAAAAAATAGAGAAGAAATACAAAAGTTCTGACTCTTTTACTTTAGGAAAATTTTTAAATTTATTTTTTGTTTCCCGTCGCAAGCCCCCTGTAGATTCGTACGTGAAATTTTAAGATTTTTTAGTGGATTTTGGCCTTTTAAAGAGAGTTCTTGATAACATATTAAAAAGTAATATTTTGTGGGAGATCCATAAATCTTTTAAATTTTTTTTTTCCTAATGTTGATAACTTTGTTTATTTTTGGTCTGGTTAAAGTTGAACTATGTTTTAGGGCCCATTCGTATACCTTTTTTACTTAAATAAATGTGATTTCTACCTTTTATTTATTACAATCTATGTTATCAGATATATATATATTTCATGTATACTTCAAACTATAAAACTTTTAAGGTAGATTTTGCAACTAAGGGAACCGTTTTACATACTTTTGTTGGTATATCTATTAGTAGTAGTACAAATAATTTACTTATTGACTACATTACATTTTTTTTAAATACTTTTCTTTTTAGCACTTCAAGTGTACTTGCTATTTAGTACTCTTTATTCTTTGCCAATATTATACTACCGTCAAGGCTTATATTTATCTGTTTTACAAGATCTTTTATAGCTATATGGTTTGTCGTACAAGGCCATATTTCGCAGGTGTACTAAAAGCAAAAACAACTGACGTTACCTTTCAAATTTTTAAAAACTGTTAAAATTTAGTATTGTTTACGTATTTATGATTCTAAAAATTGTTGTTTTTTTATAACATCTAACTTATAAGCTCAAATTATTTAGTAAAACAAAATATTATTTCGAATGGACTTAAGCTGGACCTTCGAGGAGGTCAATTACAACTATATGTATTAGTGCAGCTTACAAGATACAATTGTTTCGTAAAGTGTTATATACACCTAAAGTACTAAGAAATTGAAGTTTCCTTTCAAACCTAAAAAGTTCACTGAGGTTACAGTAATGATACAAGGTTAAATAATTTACCTAATGCTAAATTAAACTATAAAAAAATTATAAAAAAAAGATATAAAAAACTAAATTTTTTATATATAAAAATAAGATACATAATAGAAGTTCAGCTTTTTATTTTTAATACTAGCTTTATTGGGTAACATTGATGTTTATATTACTTTCAGTAGAATTGTAAAAATAATTTAAAATCTTATAGTATATGAATAGATTTATAGACTTTCTCTAACTATAAAAATATTTTATTGATAATGAGACCTGCCTCAATAACTTTATTTGCAGAGGTGGACTAACAAACCGTGGAATGTGTTCGTGATGACATTTTTTGTAAAACATTCAAACCCTCAAATAATATCCTACTAGAGCCAACCCGAACCAAGGGAGATTCTGAAAAAACCCCTGTTTAGTAAAATAGAAAAAATAAGCTGCTTTCAAAGAGCATCGAATTCGCAATAAAATAAGTATGCACTGTAAAATTTTGTTTGACCTCTTTCATAACTTCACACCTTTTAAAAGTAGGGTTGCAAATAAACGTTCCTTTAAACTTTTAATAAAAATAATTTCCCCAAGTAGTATGCGATATTAGGTTTTGTTAAATGCTATATTGGGTAATTATTTGAATAATTATTCAATTATATTCAACCGAATTGTACTAAGTAAATTCGTATAAGCAATGGGGATATTAAATAAATAATTTAAGAAATCTATAAATTCGTGGGTAATCAAAAGTAACTTTTTACCGTAAAAGAAAGTTTTAAACTTTTAACTTAAATTCATGTTTAGCTTAAGCTAAAAACAACACACAACCTCTAATTGGTTGAAGCTGTGGCTATCTAAGTAATTAATGTGGGCTAATCATAAGTTAGTAATATTTTAAAAAATGGTATAAAATCATACGTAATACTTTTCATGGAAGATTATAATTGTTTTACCTTATTACATATTGTTCGCAACCATGTTATCTTGGTTGATTCCACTCTATTTCGCACTTTTTTTCTCAGGGGTCGCCCATTTACACTGTCAAGAAACGCTCGTCAACGCCGGCACTTGGTAAGTACACTTTGAGTGCTTTACACAAATTATTTGAAGGTAGGCTATTGTTTTTGTTGCGTGATAATTAAGGCTCAATATAATTTAAAATAATTTGTTGGTAAATTTTTTTAAATTTATAAAGCTTTTTCCAACAAAGCGGATGAGATTAAACACTATTAATTGCAAAGAAATTGACCCATTTTTACATAAAGAGATCCTATTTTACAAATATTTATGTAATTTTTTAACTACGTCGGATATTGAAAAGGGACCGTTCAAAGTGCGACTTAACGACTTTTTCAAGCGAGGAAGTGCCCTTTCATGTGACAAGTTTGTAAGTTACTATCTATATAAACGTTATTTTAATTTTGTCCAGGCTGCGGTAGGGCTCTTGATAGTAGTTGTAGAATTTTTTAACAGTAGCTTAAAGTTAATAATAACTTAGAAAATGATATTTTTAATATATTGGGTCAATTGTTCCTGTGGTTTTTTAAGTTAAAGAGATTTACATCATTACAAATTTTTGTGAATATATGAGTTTTGATAAAGTTATACTAATATATATCGTTATCTTATTCCTAATAAATTTTTAAAAGAAATTTAAATGAAAACCAACTATCTATCATCAAAAAAGAATACTTCCAAAGACTCAAGATTTTGACTAATTTGTAAGTAAACATATATCAAATTCTTACAAAATCAATTAACAACAAATGAAAGTATAGTTTTAGTAATATAAGTTGGTAGCAGTTACTTATGCTTTCCCTATACACACTGACTTACTACACTTTTTAATTCAGGAAACTTAGCAATAATATCATATCTTCAATAGAGGATGGTTCCTTTGCCGAACAAAGCGCATTGACAGAATTGTTAACCTTTATAACTAAATTTATTTTTTTAATTTTATGATTACTGCTTTTGTCTTCTACAATAAAAGAGAGTTAAATGATAACCAACTCACTTCCATTGAAAATGCAATGTTTTCGTCCATGAAAAACCTAAATTATCTGTAATTTTGGTTAAAACTCTAAAAAACAAGTGGTAGAATGGATAACAAAAAGAAACCATTTCTTGTAAAAAACTTAAGTTTACTAATGATTGGGTTCATTTGTAAGTCGAAAACTGTCAAAACCTTACTAAACCGTTTAACCACAAATAAAAGTATACTTTTAGTGAAAAGTGTAAAAGTATCTACTTACCTTATCTCTTTGCTTTATGAATGATTTACCGATATTCACATTAACTTAATTCAGGAAACTTGGCAATAATCGCATCTCATCAATAGAGGATGGTTCCTTTGCCGAACTAAGCACATTGACAAAATTGTTAACCTTTATAACTAAATTTATTTTCTAATTTTATAACTGACTGCTTTTGTCTTTTACAATAAAAGAGAGTTAAATGATAACCAACTCACTTCCATTGGTAGTGCAATGTTTTCGTCCATGAAAAACCTAAATTATCTGTAAGTTTGGTTAAATCTCTAAAAAACAAGTGGTAGAATGGATAACAAAAGGGATATCCATTTCTTGTAAAAAACTTAAGTTCCCCTATTAAGTGGATGCATTTGTAACTCGAAAACTATCAAAACCGTACTAAACCGTTTAACCACAAATAAAAGTATACTTTTAGTGAAAAGTGTAAAACCGTCTACGTACCTTTTCTTTTTGCTTTATGAATGATTTACTGATATTCACATTTACTTATTACACTTTTTAATTCAGGAAACTTAGCAATAATAGCATATCATCAATAGAGGGTGGTTCCTTTGCCGAACTAAGCGCATTGAGAGAATTGTTGACCTTTATAACTAAATTTATTTTCTAATTTTAATTCGAATTTCTTTTTTCTTCTACAATAAAAGAGAGTTAAATGATAACCAACTCACTTCCATTGGAAATGCAATGTTTTCGTCCATGAAAAACCTAAATTATCTGTAAGTTTGGTTAAAACTCTAAAAAACATGTGGTGATAACAAAAGGAATCCATTTTTTGTAAAAAACTCGTTTGCTAATAATTGGATTCATTTGTAAGTCGAAAACTGTCAAAACCGTAATAAACCGTTTAACCACAAATAAAAGTATACTTTTAGTGAAAAGTGTAAAAGTGTCTACTTACCTTTTCTTTTTGCTTTATGAATGATTTACTGATATTCACATTAACTTATTACACTTTTTATTTCAGGAAACTTAGCAATAATAGCATATCATCAATAGAGGGTGGTTCCTTTGCCGACCTAAGCGCATTAACAGAATTGTTAACCTTTATAACTAAATTTATTTTCTAATTTTATGACTTATTGCTTTTGTCTTGTACAATAAAAGATTATTACACCTTTTAATTTAGGATTTTAGACCATAATCACATATCAACAATAGACAGTGGTTCCTTTTCAGGACTAAGCGCTTTGATATTTTTGTAAATACTTTTTTCTATATAATTTATCTTATAATTTTAAGTCGAATTTCTCTTTTCTTCTACAATAAAAGAGAGTTAAATGATAACCAACTCACTTCCATTGAAAATGCAATGTTTTCGTCCATGAAAAACCTAAATTATCTGTAATTTTGGTTAAAACTCTAAAAAACAAGTGGTAGAATGGATAACAAAAAGAAACCATTTCTTGTAAAAAACTTAAGTTTACTAATGATTGGGTTCATTTGTAAGTCGAAAACTGTCAAAACCTTACTAAACCGTTTAACCACAAATAAAAGTATACTTTTAGTGAAAAGTGTAAAAGTATCTACTTACCTTTTCTCTTTGCTTTTATAAATGATTTACCGATATTCACATTAACTTATTACACTTTTTAATTCAGGGGAATTAGAAATAATGGCATCTCATCAATAGAGTGTGGTTTCTTTTCTTACCTAAGCGCATTGACAAAATTGTTAACCTTTACAATTAAATTTATTTTCTTATTTGATGACTGATAACTCTTGTGTTGTGCAATTTCGTTATTTTTTATTATTTTCTTTCCAATCTCTAATTATAGTCTAATATCTAAAAGATTAATTACTCTTGATGAAAAATTTCTATGCTGCTCTCGTCTTCATTATGAGAATTTAAATTATAAAAATGATCGATGCACTTTTGAGGGGGAAATTAACGAATACAACACTTTTGATAAAAACAAATGTATTGCTTTGAAGCCTACGAGTCCTACTGCTCAAAGCATTCAAGCCACTAAGCCTGTAGTTTCATTTCCTCTTTCGTCAATCAAGGCTGCAGCAGCATTTAGAATTTCTAATTGTTATGTATTGCCAGCGTTAAGCTTAGTGCTTGCCTGCTTTTCTTAAGCATATAAAATAAATTAGGTATTTTCACAAATACGTTTTTTACCTAGTCTTTCTGTTCCCTTAAGTCTTATAAAACTAAGTTTTTTCCAAGGTATATAAATTTGCGAATGATGACTACAAACTTCTGGATAAAAGAAAGAGAGACCGTTTTATTGTCCTTAATAAAGAGGTAGTCATCATCTTTATTTTAAAGGCTTTGGCGGGTGGTCGGTAACTTAAGAACCGATTATTGAAAAAAGAATAACTTGGTGCTAACACCGAATTTGCACTGTGGAGACAAAAATAAATAACCTATCATAGATTCTTATAGCTAAAGTTTAAGTTACAATCTCCAAAAATTGTCTACTAAAATATTATAATGTAATAATCATAATAGTGGAAATTTTGAACTGCATTTTTTACTTAGTGTATAAATATTACAAATATTAATGCTTATATTATAAACTCCAACTTTGGGACAAAAATTAAATTAAAAACCGGAAATAAAAAATGGGTAATCATTTATCTAAATGCAAAGAACTGTAAGGTAAACAGCTAAAAAACCAAGAAAAAAATTGCAGAGTTGTGTCTCATTCACCTTCTTGAATTTTCACACTTATTCTCGTCCTCGTAACTGATGCATGTCATTTCCAAACACATTCTTTGTGATATATCTAAATTGCTTAATTTTTTAAGAGAACAGCACAAGCTATGCTGTTTTTTGGTGGTGGTAGGCACCAAGCTAAAAACGCGCAGAAATATCTTAATTTTATAAAGCATTTTACTTTATTGAGGTGGCTGATTGGACCAAAAATAATACAGATATGTAGTAAAAAAAAAGTCGGCGCCATTGAAAATGCCATGCAACAGGCATAAATAATTAATTTTATCAGGATTTCTTTTAAAATGGATAGTTTAGATTTTAGAAGTTGTGGACACATTTTTGTGTCACCAGTAATCCTGCAGGCTATCAGTATAAATTTTAATAGTAAAAAATAAACTCTGTATAAAGTTAAAAAATAAAAAAACAAGACATTAATTTTCTAAATAATCTTCTTGCAGCACAATTTATTTTACACTCAAGTTAGTTGATACATTTTAATTAATCTCGCGTGTTTAATTTATTAATTTTTTGTATATATATTATATTTTACGATTCATAAAGTAGAGGCGATACCTATGCCAGCTCTACAAAGTGTCGAGGCAGTGGAATTTCCCTAGGTATAGCCGATCAGGCACCCGTTTCTGTAATCGCTGTCTTCAAACCCCCTTGGAAGCTACTCCCGCCCTCCGTTTTGGACACCATCTTTGGGATTGTCTCTTCTACTGTTTTGTGCGGGGATCTTAATCGCCAAATCTGCATGGAACAGCCGAGCCGATAACTCGAATGGGCACACCCTTGAGGCCTACTCTGTTGAGCAAGCTGTCCGTGCTAGGTCCCCAGAAACCAACACACTTGCCACTATAGGCACAATGGGCATACAGGATATTGCCATACTTAAAGATATACGTCTCTCTACGGGAATTAAAGCGCTCCACGAGCTGTCCTCCGATCACTCCCCAGTTATTCTCGATTTAGGGAACGAGAAGGGCGCATCAAAGTCCATTTCCTGTATTTTTTAGTGACTGGGGAAAATATACAGAGGTACTAGAAACCACGCTGCCGCGGTGCAGTTATTACTGTCACGCCCCCCCCCCCCCCTGCCGGTAAATGCTTTTGCCCTTTTCGAAACCGCACTAAACATGGCTCACACTACTGCCACGACAACTAGTGAAGTAACGTACTGCTCGATCGACTGCCTAACGTACTAAAGACACTTATCCGCCAACCTCGACTTCTTATTCGAGTAGCCATATTGTCGCAGAGCGCCCTCAAACCTGCTCTTAATCGACTTCACAGGTACATTAGAAAAAAGCTAACGGCCCATTTTAACAATAAATGGAGAGCAAACCTGAAATCGTATCTTAGAATCAGGCAGCAGAAGCCGTTCTTCTTTTTGGAAATTTGTTAAAAGGTTAAAAAATTGGGGGTTTGCACCACTACCGCCCCTTTGTGAAGGAAATATAGTGGCCGAGAGTGGAGATATAGCTACGCTTCTTGCCTATGTTCTTGCTATTTAAAACGTGCCAGCTGCTCACTATACTGCTAATGATGATGCTTCCTTTCTCTCAGCCGAGCTTACCTCTCACCGTTAATTAGGAACTACTTAATCTAGTTAATGTTAACGAGGGGCAAGCAATTCTCGAAGCGCTACTTAAACGAAAGGAGCTTTGCCCCGATGACATCACTAATGAGATACTGAAGAAATGCCATTGATAGGGATGACCTATCTTTACCTCCTTAGAAAATCTTCGACATTCTCCTTGGCGCCTTTTCGTTTCGATGGAAGACGGCGATCGTTGTGAGCCTACCAAAAACACTTACACCAGAATCAGCAACTAGCAAGTACAGATCCATCAGCTTACTGTCAGCGGTCGGCAAAGTGGATGAGGCCGTTTTACTGCGCCGTCTTAAAGAAGTCGTTGACGCTTGGAATGCTTTACCAGGGTTTTAGTTTGGATTTCGGCCAGGGCGCCCAACGAACCAGCAGCTCCTCCACTTAACTGAATGGACCACTCGCGCTTTTAACCATAAGAAGGCAACAGGCGCTTTCTTTCTTGACGTTGAGAAGGCATTTTATCAAGTTTGGTATGAAGGTCTGTTGCGCAAACTGCGCTCGTGATCCTTCCTTCATGACCTTCGTAAGGTGCTGGAATCATATCTGAATATTCGCGTCTTCAGCTTGCGCGCGGTAGATACCCGGTTGCCGCTTCGACCTCTGACAGCAGAGGCCCCTCAGGGGTCACTTCTCCCTCCCCTTTTATATGCAGTTGCGCCTTGGTTTTGTGCGAAATGATGCTCTTCACCGGGACCGTCAACTGGGCCCCTAAAGCAATGACTTCCAACGTAATGCCATGCCGTGGTCCTTTACGAGTCTTAGGAGGGAGCACGTTCCCCGTAAGCGCTAGTTAGTGTAAGTTATTGTCTAGAAAATAATGATAATTTATCGATCAAAAGCTATTATGTAACATGTCTGCGATCACTCCTGGTTTGAGAGCTCGAGTATTCGAAGCTATGGGATTCCACCGAGCCCCAGGCGCTAAAATATCAACAGAAGAAGTAGATACTACGACGAAACCCGGGGGTTATTAAAGACAGTCCCGCGAGTTTCTATATAAAAATGTATTTAGCAATTTATATTGCGGAACTTTTAAAAAGGTCTATTTAAGTGTTAGGCAGTTGCGATACGAAATTATAAAGTTCAGTTATCTAAAGCTTATTATACTAATATCTAGGTACGTTATTAAGCAGAAAATAATTTAAATTGAGATGGCGGATTTTAATTTGCTGTAGAGTCGACTACTACAAACGTTCTATTTCAGCCAAATTAAACCAGTAAGCAGAGTCACAACTTAATTCACAACCATATTGCATAAATGCAACGTAATACAAATAGGCTTGAGGTAATATAAGGCTTGGCGATATTTATACTGTAAATTAGTGTCTTAAATAATATATACAATAAAAAGCTCTTAAACATTTCTAAAGATGGATGAAATATCGGCATATCAAAAAAGAGCATAAATCGAGAAAATAATAAGAGGGAAGTTAATACGTTACACTAAAATAATTTTAATTTATACATTGCAGTAGGGCACAACGAAATAGTCTTATAAAAATAGAAGTTAAAAGTCAAGATTAAGCTTGTGGTGATAACCTAAACTATATTTATAAAGTGCTTAAGGAAATAAAATAATTACGTTGATAAGAGTCATTGAACAACTATTAATGAAGCAAAGAACAGAAAGAAACACCAGTTTTGGATAGGCGGCGTTCACTTTTTGACGTTTCTTTATAAAAAAGAATATAACTTTAATTTCTAGGTGCAATCACTATATGCAAAGGTAAGAAAGTATAGGGAGTCACAAAGTTTTTAAA